ACTCCCTGCTCGTATTACCCATTTAGTCCAGCCCGAACTGCGGCATGTTGTTTGGAGGGTTGGCCGGAGTCGGGAGAAGTGGGATATATCACATGGATATTTCGCTTATTATTGGCCATATTTTAATGCTGCTCGCTGCTCGCTGCTCGCTGCTCTCCGTCTGCTTTGGGCCAACCGAGATTTGTCGTAGTCCATTTTTGATTTATTTATGTGTTTATTTGCCCTGTTTTTGGCTCTGCGTCTGTGATTACTCATGGCTCCATGGCTCCCAGTTCGCCCGTTGCTGCTCGAGGGGGGTGGCTCGAATTCGATTTGCATATTATTTTATTTGCATTTTACATAATAATTTAATTTTATTAGTTTTGCTGCATCATCGGCATGATGGTGCGGCTCAAGTTTGCCAACTCTAATGGCTCAAATGGCTCTAATGGCACCTTGGTAGCCTTTCTCTCCCAGCCACATCGAATGTGTGTGCTTTGAGTTCAACGGCCGACATTTCATCGCCGTTTAATTTTATTTTTATTTTTTCCCCATTTTTATTGCTGTTTTTGCTTCTTTTATTTTGCTCTATTGGGGACACTTAATGCGAGCAACGCCTACTCGCCATTCGCCATTCGCCATTCGCCACTCGCCACTCGCCATTTGCCGGGTGCACGGGTATACTATAATTTCTAGTTGCATTTTTGGGCATTTATTTTCATGGCTTACTTGTAGCATATTTTGCCGGCCACCACCACATTCATTTAACTTTGCGGTGCAGGGTGTTAAGAAGGAGTGGTTGGTCAGGGGTCGGGGGTTGGGGGTCAGGGGTCAGGGGGGTCAGGGGTCGGCGGGTTGCTGCAGGGATTGCCCGACAATTGCCGCAGTCTTTGGAGAGTCTTCCCAGCGCGACGGGCAGTCGTAAATTAGTTGCGAATGGCAGCAGTAACACCATCAACAACAACACCACAACAATCACACCAACACCAACACCAACGCCAACAACTGCAGCTGAAAAGTTGCAGCGTGCAGAGGGAGAAAAGTTGAAAAAGTCGAAAGGAAAAGTTCAGGAAAAGTGTGAGGTGAAATTATTATCAAGTGCTTGCCACGAAATTTGCGGTAGCCTTAAATTGGTGCACCTGTTTGAGTTCAGAGCAGCGTGCTCTAATTTAACATATCCACATGGTAGCATAGTTTCTTAGACAAATTATTCCCATTTACTTACTGCGACTCCTAAGGCAGTTTTAACCAATTAGCATGCCAGCCGATTACACCAATTAAATATTCTGTGAAATACAGCAACAGCAGACATTTTGAACACAAAACATATAGAGCAAAAAAAGTATTACATCAAAATATTGCAATTCAAGTACCCGACGATACAAATCCTGAAAAAAAGTGGGAAAACACTTAAACGGAGTTGTTTTTAGAATAACTAAAATAATAGTAGTCACTTATTATCATGAAACATGAGGTAAAAAATTACATATTTATATAACAGTTTCTCAATTTCAGATACATAATCTGAAATACATAAATACATCTATACATGTACCTATAGATTTATACCTTCAGGTGTCTACTAAAGTTTACTCGGAATATATAATATAAATAAATAAAAAACTTCGTTGCCGTTACTAGAATATCAAAGTTAGTATAATATCAAAGCTCTAAATCTAATTAAATCTAATTAATTATACGGACGGACAAATATACGGACAAGGCAAGACCTACTAACCCTTGATTAAGAAGATCGGAAAGCCTTCTTCAACATGTTACAAACTTTTTAAAGAATCGAATATACACTTTTCACTTATACATGGGGATATATGGGGATACATTTAAACAAAACACTATAAACAAAACACAATAACCAACAAATACGAACTAAAATGTTTAAGTAAACTAAAACAAAAACATGAATAAACAAAAAGAACTGATGTAAAGTACTTGTAATAAAATTTTTTGCGAATTAGAATCTAGGAAAATTAGAGCAATAACTATAATGACGATACCGATATAGGTTGCACAAATATCACTCCAATAAAGCAACAATTGACACATCTCAATCGTTACGCGTTTTAAAATCATACACAAGGTGCCTAATAGTATGCAACAGTTCAATTAGAACTTGGTAGCGTCATGGATTCGATTCAAAGAAGAATGGTATTCGTATACTCAAGTATACTCAAGTATCAAGATATAAACTCCCAAACAGAAGTCATCGCGGCAATCAATGCAATATTGTATGCACCTCCAAAGCCATTTTCCACACATTAAACAGTGGGGGCCGAAAACCAGCGACTGGTGGCCAAAAAGAATATAAGTACTGGCTCCGTCAGTGGGGAATTCCGAATGACTTGCAGGCAAACCCGAAAATCTGGCTCAGATGCCTTAACGTTCGATGCAATTTGGCCGGCTTCTGGTGGCGCTGCCATTACCAATTATTTGCGCTGTTATCGCGACCTTCTTCTGCTGACCCCAATTTGGCCAATAAGGTTTCCTTGTCGGTAAAAAAATGAAAAAAGTAAATACAAAGGCGAAGGGAGCCGCAAGCTTCGAGTTTCGAGCTTGTTGATTGCCTTCGCGTCTTGGCGATGGCAGCTGATTGAAGTGCAAGGTGAGGCGGCGCTTGGGGATGGGTTGGGGGTAAGGGCGCCTCTGGCAATTTCTCTCAGTGTCTGCGGGGAAAAAAAATGGTGGGGAGAAGGGCGGAGAGGTTCTGTGGGGTCCTTGGGCAGGTTTCTCTTTCACTTTTAATGGCAACTGGCATAATGAGCTGCTATGTGTGCCATGTGCCACCAGGCCAAACTCGAACTTGGTGCATTTGTTTTGGCCACTTGGGAACTGCCTGAAAATGCCCCCCGTTGTCGCACCCCCTCCCCCCAGCCCTTTTTGCACTGCCTCTTGGCCAGCATTGACACAATAAAATATTTGTTGTCGTTGCATTTATAGACGCATTTGCTCTTTTGCATATTTTGAATGTTTCCATACTCTTAGAAAAGGTATGCCACTTGAATCCGCAACTAATTTCGTTGAAAGCCTCAATTAAAGTTGTTGCATTAATGCAAAAACAACAAAATTACCTCCAATTTCAAATTAAAAAGTGCCAAAAAGCATGCTACAAAGTATATTGAGACCAAGAGTACGATGCATTGTTTCAGACATCTTTACTGGTGAATTTTATGCCTCCTCCTATATTTATTCTAGGTAAAGAGTATGCAAAAACATATAGTTATACAAAAATAATAATATACTGGAGAAGAGTAATAAAATATATATTATTATAAGAACATAAACAAATTTCAGTAAAATATTACCAATATTACTCCAATAAAGGCGACACCAACTAAACATTCCAAGATTCTATCAATATTGTCACTATAAATATACAATTTTGTATCCCCCCTTTCCCTTAAGAATGGTAATAAGATGTACGGATATTATTTCAAGAATGGAAAGAATTGAAGATGAATTTCACCAATGAATAAAACTCAAATTCAAGCGACACCAACTAATAATAAAAAGAAAAGAATATGTATTAAGGGCATTGAATAAACAGAGTATCTTTTATTTCCCAACTTTGTATCCCCCCTTTCCCTTGAGAAGGGTATTAGGATGTACGGATATTAATACAAGAATGGAAAGAATTGAAGATGAATTTCACCAATGAATGAAACTCCAATTCAAGCGACACCAACTAATAATAAAGAGAAAATGAATATGTATTAAGGGCATTGAATAAACAGAGTATCTTTTATTTCCCAACTTTGTATCCCCCCTTTCCCTTGAGAAGGGTATTAGGATGTACGGATATTAATACAAGAATGGAAAGAATTGAAGATGAATTTCACCAATGAATGAAACTCCAATTCAAGCGACACCAACTAATAATAAAGAGAAAATGAATATGTATTAAGGGCATTGAATAAACAGAGTATCTTTTATTTCCGAACTTCGTATCCCCACTTTTCCTTAGGAAGAGTATTAATATGTACGGATATTATTACAAGTATATAGTGAATTGGAGATGAATTTCACCAATGAATGAAACTCCAATTCAAGCGACACCAACTAATAATAAAAAGAAAAAAATATGTATTAAGGGCATTGAATAAACAGAGTATCTTTTATTTCCCAGCTTTGTATTGAATTGCAGATGAATTTCACCAATGAATGAAACTCCAATCCAAGCGACACCAACTAAGATGCCGGGCTAAAATCAATATCTTCAGTTCGCAAATACAAGAGTATCTACTATTTGTGAACTTCGTATCCCCCATTTCAATGCGCTTTTTGCCGTTGTTGTTGGGCATCCGCGACATGCGACAAAATAAAATGTAATTTCTCTTTCAGGCCCAGTTCCAGTTTGCAGTTTTCAGTTTTCAGCTTGCAGTTCCCAACCCTGGCCAACATGCGACAATTCAATGCTGACAACAACGACGAGAAATGGCAAAAATAACAACGATGGTAGCAACAAAATATGCAAATCGTAGTCTCTAGTTGGGCTAGGTCAGGCGTGCGGGGAGGGGGGTGTGGGGTATTGGCCAAATTGGAGTCAAGTGCAATCGTGTACCTCCCCCCGCCCCATCGAACATAAATAATTTAAGAGTGTGAAAACAAATTTTTTATGCCAGGACCGTTCGGAATTTTGTTTAGATTGTATTTCGGTTGACTAAAAATAAGTGCAGATGGCAAAAAAAACTTGTTTTGTTATTGTTATAATCTGGTCGAAATGCGATATGGTGATTTTTAATTGTTATGCTTTTTTAAATGATTTTATTTTGATGTTAGTTTTATGTCATTGCCATTGATTTTGTTGGCCCATTTAATAGTTTTTACAGCGACTACACTTTGCTTACTTTATTTATGCCGTTCATTTGTATTCAAATATGGGCCAGTGACATTTTAATTTCGGATAATTTTACATGCCAATGGGGTAGGTGCTCGATTTTTAGTCATACATTTTCGAAGGTCTTTATTGAATACAATGTGTCTTCGGTAAACAAATAAATCTGCAAATAGTGTCATTACAATAACAAAACAATTAGGATTAGTACGCTTAACTTTAGATATATTTGTAGGATTTGGTTTTTTCATTGCATTTTTATGATTTAGTTACATTATGTAATGTACAAAGAAGGTCTGTCATCTAGTTTAGGATGTATCTTTAAGATTTCTGGGAGGAACTAGACTTGGTGGCTGCCACTTGGCCTTGCCAAAGCCGACGGTTCGAATAGAAGGATCTGCCTTTAAGCACTACCTAAAAGCAGTGCCTTCCATCCAATCCGTCGACTTAGGCGGGCAAAGAACCATCCTCTTCCTTTTTGATATCCAAATAGTTGGGCGAATAGGTGGGTGAGCTGAAAAAACTGGACCTGTTGGAGATTTTCGTGCGCAGTCGTTTGGTGGTCACCAGTTGGGACATCTTGCGTAGCGTGATGTAGTCCTTGTTCAGCATGCGGCACAGTTCGATGAAGGTGCACAGTTGGGGCGACTTGAGCTGGGTGGCCAGATTGTAGGCGGAATTGAGCACCTCCGTTTGGCGCTCGTACTTGTGGAGCACGGCGTGCGACTTGGCCATCAGCATGGTGCTGAGGAACTCCCAGATCCGACTATTGCATACCCTGGCCTCCTCGATGGACTTCTGGGCGTAGGACAGGCTCTGCACAAAGTGATTCTTCTGCATGTGCAGATCGGCCAGCTCGTGGAGCAAGTAGCTCCTTTCAATCGGCAGGCGGGCGAAGAGCAGCCGTTTCTCCAGATACTCCACGTGGTTTCTGTGGGCGAAATCTCACTTATTTGAGTATATATTTTCCAAAAGGGCAATGTTCGACTAACTGGCAGTAACTGCAATAAAAATCTAATACAATTCTTTATACAATACAATTCATTATGAATTCTATCTACCAAAAAGCATTATTTGTAGCATTCTTTTAAACACGTTCACCTGTACTTTCAAATCTCTAGAGAATTTACATTTTAATACATCATTTACACATGCAACTTTTTGGGAACAAACTTAACTTAAGAATACTTAAGTATCTCCAATTTCACTAAATATTATTATTTATTAAATACTATTCATTAAATCAATTTTTAAAGAAATATCTCAGAAATAAGGGGCATAAATCATCATTTAAGGGGCATAAAAAGAGTTTTAGCAAATGCAACATTCATTTTGATTTCTACTCAATTGTTTGCGATAGTGTTTGGTAATTCTTAAGAATATTTCCCCACCCTGTGATGTTAAGATACAATATTAAGATGTACAGATCCTTCATTATTCATTAAATACTATTCATTAAATCAATTTTTAAAGAAATATCTCAGAAATAGATATTTTTTGGCCATTTAAGGGGCATAAAGAGAGCTTATCCACCTACATGTTTTAGCAAATACAACATTAATTTTGATTTCTACTCAATTGTGTGCTACAGTGTTTGGTAATTCCTAAGAATATTTTCTTTTTGATTTTTGATTTGGACGGTACGCCCAAAAATGGGTTGGAAATCACAAACACTCACTGGTCTGCCAATCGATCGGTGCTCTGCTTGTCGAGGCCGGCATAGGAGTAGGTGGACCGATCCCCGAAGATGAACTCCGTGTGCTCCAGGGGCTTGGCCACCTGTATGTTGAGCAGCTGGCACATGGCGCCCTTGTCGTAGGGCGTGACCCGCGTGGCCGGCAGGCGGTATCCCTCGCACAAGCTGAGGGCCAGGTTGTTGTACACCTCGTTCATGAACTCCGCCTTCCAGGGCATCAGCCGGTTGGTCTTGATGACCACGTAGTTGCCCATCACATCCTCGACGAACTTGCGCAGCCGCTGTAATTAGGTGGTATGTTTTCACAACAGGCGATTGTGGATGCATTCAAATCTTATTGTGAACCGGCTGCTTATGGTTCTAAAACTCACGACCGACCGTAGCTCACCTTGATGTCATTCCTTCTCCTCAGCAACTTAATGGTCCGCAGGATGCTCAGCATGTTGCGCCTGGTCTGGTACTGAATCCTGAACAAGTTGGCGTCCCGCATGCGAGCTTCTACGCGGAAATTGCGCTGAAAGTACTCATTATACATGGGTCTCCTTGCCTGGAGCATCCGTGTGAAGGTCTTCAGGCGCCGGAACGAATACTCCAGATACTTGGTGCGGTCCGGCGAGGAGCCGAAATTATTGTCCAGAAGGCAGTTGGGATGCCGGCGAAGTGTTTTCAGAAAGATGAAATCGGTCCAATTGCGACCCAGATAGTTTTGATAAAAGATCTTGGTCTTGCGACGCCTACGCTCGGTTTCCAGGGGGGAGAGCATCTCCTCCTTGAGATCGATTCTGCTCTGGACATCACACTCTTTTCGCTCCTTGAGGATTTTCCAGAGCGGCCGCGTGTCGGCCTTTCGCAGCTCATTCTTCTGGTTATCATAGAAGCCCGGCAGCTGCGAGGAGTGCTCCATGAAGAAGTTCGCCAGGCTGAAGCCCGTGCAATCCTTCAGATTCTCATCTACCAGCAGAAGGCGATTCTCGAAGCCCTTCAGTGCGGTGCCCGCATGCCGACGGACATTGTCGTGCAGCAGGGTCTTGTTCTCCTCCAGCCGATTCAAATCGTAGAGGGCATCTGCCAGCTCCATGGACACATTCGCGTCCCACACCTGCCTCACCTCCGTGGCCCTCAAACTATCCTCCAAGGCGCCCTGCGTCAGGCCCACCGATCTCTTGAACTTGCTGCGCAGATATAGAGCATTGTGATCCACACCCTCATTCTCCGTGATGCACTTGTCGAAATACGTCTGGGCAAAGCTGTTCTTCCTCATCCTCGCAAAGTACTGACCCCAACTGCGGTAGATCCAACGCTGCTGCTCCGGTGGCCAGTCGAAGGTTTCCCAAGGCTTCAGGTCTGCCACCAAAAGACCCGCCGGTGCCGATTGACTCAAGTCCTTCATTACGCACCAACTTCTCCTCGTCGCTCAAGTAAAAAAAATAAAAATAAATTCAGGGAACACCCTAAAAAATAAATGCTACAAAAAATGGAAACGAAACGAATTTGTCTCTCCTAAAACTGAAATGAAAATGAATAAAAAATCTCGGGTACTTGATCGAGTATCATAAAAATAAAGCAGTATTAACACATTTTCCTGTACGCAATGGACGACGCAAAAGTTTATCGACAGTTTATGTAATGAAATATAAGTACTTAAGGCCGAGTAAACAAAACAAGAACGAGCGTAAGTATTTTATAATAACATTTTAAACGTGTAATATCTCCGTTGAAGACAACTATTAACCATTTAGAGCAATACAAATTCCAAATACAAAAGGTGCTGTGTACAAATATCAGTGCTCAGGATCGCTGGGAGAATCACTTCTGTTGGAAGGGATCCTTTTCGATGTACCTGTCCAGTCGTTGTTCGCCATCGGACTCCACCTGAGATAGCTGGCCAAAACCTTCCTCGTCGACGAAGCAGATCTCATGACCATCGGGATCGCCGAGAATGACCACCGAAACGGTGGCCTTTCCCGGTGTATCCAAGGTAATCAGGGGCGTTAGAATGGCGCCGCCAGCTGCCTTAACCGCCTCGTGGAGCGGCGGTTGCTGGGCTGCCGGTATGGCGAAGGCAATTCGTCCATAAGCCTTGGCTCTATTGATTGGCTCTGCGATCTGGGTGATCTCCAGTGAAGCCTGCTGTTCGCCGTAACTCAAACGCAGGCTTGCTTCGCTCTCCTCGATAACTTTCAGTTGCAGCAAATCGTGCCAGTACTTGCGCGAGTTCTGAAGATTGCTCACATTCAGCTCCACCGATTGGACAGGATCGGAGCCAGCGGACGGCTGATCGATCACATAGAACTTATAGCCATCGGGTGAGATCAGCAGACTGCCGGCTTTTCCAGCTACCTGTGTCACTGGATACGAGTGCTCGGCGGCCCGAGAAAGGATATCCTTGGAGTGTATGGTCACGCCCCCGAAATCGTTGCCTGAATCGAAAAGAATAGGTATTAAATAACATGATTTGTGAAATATTACAAATAACTGGCAAATTAATTAAAAGACAAATATTTATTCTTGTCTCTAAAGGTGATTAAGCAATATAGCTGGTTCTTCAATTCTTGTAGTGGTTTTTCCAATATCTTGGTATTGATCATGCAGCTCTCAAATGTTCCTTATCAGTTAATTTTGCGATGAACAGAAATGTTCAAGGCGGCTTTAAATAAAATTACTAACAACCTACTCACAGATAACTATTTGCGTATTCATAAAGCAAAAGATTAATAACCTACTATCTTTGCGGAATTATGCCCAGTCACTTATTGTATAGCTATTAATAGTGAAACACTTAATTACAAAGTTGTCGGAGATACAATTTGACAAGTGTTCGATTTAATAATATGGAAAATAAAATAAATAATTTTTGAGATGTATCATGTTGCAAGTTTTTGCGACTTATGTATATATGTACATAATACAGATATGTATTACGAATGACTTCTTAAAGCTTAAATATATTATCTCTGCAGTTTCAAACTTTTTAGCTTCCATTTCTTTTTAAAATCGCTTTAATGTCTGATTCAAACATCTAAAAAAATTAAGTATTATAGGGCGGTTTTAACCCGTGTACGGGTTAAAACGGTACCGCCTGCACTCAGGACAATCAGGAACCTTACATGAGCCGAACATATTTATCTGGTATGAGTCTTACCGATTTCGTAGCTGCTCACTCCATAGTTATACGTGAGTTCGATGACGAAATGCGAACTTTCGGGTCCATAACCCACCATTGTTTTGCTCCACCGGTTGTCGTAGGGCCTGTGAAGGGTTAACGATTACCGGTTAGTCCTGTCGCAACTTTCCGACATATGCACGTAGTGGTCTCCCTCGCACTCACCCGTTGCAAGCGGCGTCGCAGCCCTCCTTGAACTCCTCATGCCGCAGCACCTGTTGCCGTGCGATCAAGCGAGATGGCGATAGAAGAGAGCAACAATGATAGGAGAAAAAATAAATTTTAACACAGTCATTATATGACATTATCGGGCATCTGGGCTTTTTAATTAGCAGCCGCGCGTCGTTGACACGTAGTCCAGATAAAACTACAGCCAGACACAACAACTTGCGATAAGGAAGTCTGCCGATTTCCGACGATATCCCCATCCCACCCCGCTCACCGACATTCCCAAGATTTGGCGAAAGAAAAAGGAGTTTTTCGCTCGATCTCCAATTTTGAATACATAGTGCAGGGCACGTCCCGAAATGGCCGACATTTTTGCGTTTATCAGTTGACGTTTATTAAGCAAGTGTTTTCCGATCGAAATTTGGACTTGTTTATGTACATTCCGATTCAGTGTGACCGTACGCAGAGCGCCAAATATTCCTAGCGACGGGAGCTTTGGGATTTTTTAGTTGATTTGTTTAGATAACTCGAACAATAATTAATTTAAATTCACTGTAACTTTTATTTTATTTTTTTTTGACATATCATAAGTCTCTTTTACTTAAAAGCGCTTTTTGCCGATTAACCGCAAGGGGTAAAAATTATCACGATACAAAAGTTTGGAATTAAAGTTTTGTGACCAAAACGATTTTAAGCTCGACTAAATACACTGTTAAGTTATTATTACATTTAAATATTGAATCAATTATCAACAATTTTGTTTTCCAAGGATATTTTAAAAATATAAAGGAAACGGAACCCCAATAACTTAAAATGTTTAGTAAACGGGTACATAAAACTATTTAATACATTGTAGTAGCGACGCTAAAACGTCTTGAAAGTAAGATATTTAACAATTTTCGCTAATAAACACCACAAAACATAAAACACTCAGCACATCGGATATAAATGGATGGTTATAGTTGATCATAAGTCTTTCGAAGGGCTTAGTTTATAATCGTGGAACTGCTCTTCCATTCGCACCATGATTTGCGATTCTGCGTCCTGCTCTAATTTGTGCTGCCATTCCGGATCGAGTGCATCCCCCTGCTCTAGTTTGCATTGCCTTTCCCCCAGCGGATCATGCTCTGGATTGTGGGACTCTCCACCTCGTTGACTCCCATTCTGCCGCTTGCTCGCCTGCTCGGTTGCCTCGTTTGGGTGGCTTTCCATGGAGAGATCGCTCCGCCGTGGCTTTTTCTTCTTGCGAAGCTGCTCTTGATGGGCTGCCCGAGCCTCCTGATCCTGATCCTGCACACGGCCGTGCTCCTGCTTCTCACTCTCCTTACTCTGCTCCATTCTTTTTCTGTGCGTCTTTCGCATGCGATGCCTTCGTAGGTGCAGCTCAAGGTTTTGTCGCGAAACGCACAGTTTGTGGCAGTGAACACAGGCGAAGGGCCATTCCTTGGCCGCCTCTCCTGAGCCCGTGGATTCCGTGTGCAACCGCTCGTGGCGCACCTGCGAGGCATGCGTGCCAAACTTTTTCTCGCAATGACCGCACTGGAACCTCCGCTGACCCTCGTGGACCACACGGACGTGCCGACTAATGGCGCTCTTGTGGCGAAACAGTTGCGGACACTGCTCGCACTTGAAGCGCTCCCAGGTGGGATTGTGAGTGCGCAGGTGGGTAAGTAGCTCCGTTCTGGTCACCTTGGCCACGCCACAGTGCTCGCACACGTGCTCCTTGCGCTGGGCATGGCGCTTCAGGTGCTCGCCCAAGGCATTCTTCGTGCTATACTGCCGGTTGCACAGCTCGCAGATGAGGTCGCGCAACTCCTGCTGCAGTTGCTCCAGCTGGGGATGGGCATTGCGCATGTGGGAGCGCAGCTGCTCGTAGCGAGTGAAGCATTTGTCACAGCTGCGACACAAGAACGGTTTTGAGTAGCCCTCATGGACGCTGCGGATGTGGGCCTCCAAGTACGGTAGCTTGTACACCTGCTTGCCGCACTGATTGCAGGCCAGGCCAGCGCGGCGTTTGCTGCCAGCGGTTTGACTAAGCTGTTGCTGGCTGTTCTGGTACTCATCTGGATACTCCTCATCCTCCCGGTCGTCGAGAAGCTCCTGCTGATTCTCCTGCTTCTCCACAAGCTCTACCTGCAGGTCATCCGAACGCTTTTCCTGCTCTTCCTCCAGTTCCTGCTGCTTTTCCTCTGGGTTTTCCCCGAGTCCTTCGTCCGGCGGCTCCTCCTTCACCTACGAAAGCCCTAAGAAAGTATTAATCCAGGCTTAACAAGCCGAAATGTGCATATATATCCACCCTGTCGACCGCAATGTCCATTGGCTGCCATTCGCTAAGCTTCTGGCTGGATTCCCTGGCCACTTGGCGCAGCTCCTCAAAGTAGGCCAACGCGTTGTGGCACAGGTTGCAGATCTCCGTGGGAAATCCCTGCGGCTGCTGGAGAATGTCGATGTCCAGGAACTTCTGCAGAAGCGCGACGAGTCGCGGATCGGGGCACTGGGTGTCGCGATCCCGCAGATGACGCAGGCAAATCCTGCACAGGCGGGCGAGGTCCGTAAATGTGTTGAACATCGCTACGAATCGTGCTGCGCCAAATGCAATGCCTCTACGTGGAACACCAGTCCTTTTTTTCCGCCTCCCAAAATTTCCGGCTGCGATGCACACTCGCTGCCAGTGTGACCAGAGCGGGCGACACCTGTTGCGCTGCACTTGATGGTCACTCTTACCAACATCGTTACCAATCTAGCAAATTCCTCAGAATATGTGCAGAAAATGTCAAATAACAAGATAATAATAACAAGAACTTATTACAAATTGCAATAAATTATAATAATGGTAACGGTTAGTTTTTGGGGCATTTTTAAATTAAAATTAAAATGTAATAAATTGTGGTGGATATATTTATCAGAATAAATCTAGGTAAGATGTTTTGTGTATTAAATTGTTGAAGTCATTATATGGTATACACCTTGCATTTAACAATACCTTTCAGGAAATTGTCCATATACAAACGTTTCCATATTTAAGATAAATGAACCCGGAAAGACAATACGATATTTACAACACTTGCACGTTGTATATCAACACTGGTTGGTGCGCTGTTATCGATATTTAGCAAGTAGGAACCATCGATTGTGTTTCATAGAAATCAATGTTATTCCAGCCCTAACAACGAGTGCTGATCTGAACAAATTCGGTTGATTTCATTTGATTTTGTTTCACATTTTTCGTGTCGCCGCGATCGGATCGGATCGGATTCCCCAATAACCTCTGAGCGCACCGCCTATCCTTCAAGTGAAATGTCGCTGAACCCGCAGTACGAGGACATTGGCAAGGGATTTGTGCAGCAGTTCTATGGGATATTCGATGACCCGGCGAATCGGGCGAACGTGGTTAATTTCTACAGCGTAAGTGTTGTTGCTTTGCGCTTTTGCTCGTCGCCTTTCATCTCTCCTTTATCCCCGTCCCCTCTTGCACCTACGCATTTATCTCTTGCCATCCCCCTCACACGCACAGGTGACGCGCGGCGCGCCCTTGAAAAATTCCGCCTCCTTGCAGCAAAAAATGAATAAAGAAACTGTTGCAATGCGAAAAAGAGCGCGAAAAGGCAGCTGGAGATATATGGCCGGCATATCGCGATATCGGGAGAATAGGATGAAATGGTGATAGAGGGAGGGGAAGCAGCGTTCGATTCTCGAAGTTTCGGGTGACACATTACGCCCATGCTCGCATAAATAAATACACACATACGAAATATATGGCCAACATACAACTGAGGCCAGCACGATAGAACCCAAAAAATATACAAAAAGGCACTGAGCAAATTGTACCAATAACTTGGAAAAAATTAATTGATTTTGGACCAGAGAAACCATTTTAAATGCCAATCAAAAGTATATAAAATAGCAACATCTGTTAAAACTCTTTTAAAATTGAAATATTACAAATTGTAGTATTTGATAATATTACATCTTTCTTCTCCGTACTTACACATATTTTATACTTGCAGGCTACCGACTCGTTCATGACCTTTGAAGGCCACCAAATTCAGGGCGCGCCCAAGATTCTGGAAAAAGTTCAGGTAAGTTCTGATTATATGCACTATTCAAAATATATGTATATGTATACTCACATACCCCTTGTATTCCTGCAGAGTCTGAGCTTTCAGAAGATTAACAGAGTGATAACCACAGTGGACTCGCAGCCTACTTTCGATGGCGGGGTTTTGATCAACGTCCTTGGAAGACTGCAGGTAAAACAGCATTCTCATAAACAAAAATGCCTGCGGCGGCGGTTACAATATTAGCACTGCCGATCAAATGAATCGCTCTACTTTTTAATTTGCCAATCTACTTTTGGGTTTTTTCAACACACAAATGCTTGAGAATCATATTTGCAACATATAGAACCACTAAAATTTTTTGTTATGACTTTTTACGTAAGAAAAATATTTTTGTTTCGCTCTGTTTCCACTTTATTTGTATTATCATCAGCTTTGTATACGCTTGATTTAGCATGCCACATTTTTATTCTTCATTCTAAGATACATATGCATATTTTTGACCATAATTTCCATTGGAATATACATTAATTAAAAAAATGAAATCGATATAAGGAATAATTGCGTCAATGTTTTTTATGATACCGTATTGCTAAAAATATGTGTCTTTTAGAGAGCTACAAACAAAATTCAATCGCTCATCACTGTAGATATAAAATCATTCATCCTGCTTCCGTAAAGTCGTAAGGGCAGTGCTATTTGCCGACCGCCGCTGCATCGATTAGTCCATATAAGCCACCTGAATCGTATATCTCAACTCTGGTTATTACAAAACGAATCCCAAATGTTAAAACCAATGCAGACCGACGAGGATCAGCCGCATGCCTACATTCAGACCTTCGTATTGAAGCCGGTGGGCGGCAGTTTCTTTGTGCAGCACGATATATTTCGGCTGTCGCTGCACGATGTGTAGCACCATCGATACCGATCCGCCACGCCCAGTCTACAGACTCCAGCGCCCGGCCATGTACAATGTGTTAATCGAGATAGAGATCGAGATCAGCAGCCAAACGATCAGCCAGCAGAGACGAGACAAGACCCAGTTAAAAAACGAAAGAAAGCAATATCTAAGCGATAAGATAGTTCTGCTGTTTGTCGACCTTATGCCGCCCAGCCACGCCCACTCCGCCCACAAATACAAAAATATTTATCCCTGGCGTCTCGTCGTTGTCGAATCTCTTCTAATTATCCTCACAGTACGTGAATGCCCAACGATAATTAACCGATTCAAAATGTTGCGCATTTCGTTTCGTGCATGGTTTTCGTTGATTTTGAGTTGGATTAGTTCTTTCTAACCACTTGGGTTGGTCGCTGGGGAACTGGAACTTCCTAATATTGCAATGCTACTGTAACACAAACGAATTTTGTAACCTCTACATACAAGTTTTTAATATTTTGCTTTACATTTCCAACTAAACGGACTTAAAACGAATATGCTTTCTTTATATTTTTAAATGCTTGAAAACTCACTGATTAACTCTCAATTGTTTTTAATACTATTTTTCATCTGTTCCAAAGCACAATACCAATTAACTAGCCTTAACTTGCATATTGTCCTTTTAGCTCCCGATTCAACAACTCGAAGAAGCAAATTCTAAATATTCCAAATTGTTCATAGCTTCCTAATTTGCCTTAAAATTACAACTCTATTTTTAGCTATGCGCAATACTTAATTTATATGTAAATTAGGAAGATCTAAACCATTTTCACATTGAACTTGTGTAATTTTGTATTCTATCATAATAGAGCATTTGTTCAATTTTCAATGAAACTGATATCAAATAGATGAGAAAATCCGCAGACTTCATAAGTTTTCAGAAAAATATTTTTGCTCGCACATAAAAATGTCAGAGAGCCGAGTTCCATTTATCGAGCGACCCCTGTACAGTGAACACGCACCTGCACACGATCAATCGACTGCCAGTTGTGCACCCTTTTCCCCTGCCCCTGGCTTGAAGCTGTGGTTAATCCTTTCATTTCTAACCCAAAACGTTGAAGTTTTTTTCTCGCACGCTTGTTATTGACTTTAAAATGAACTGTTTTCCGAGCATTTTCGATTTCATTGTCTTGCAGTGCGATGACGATCCACCACACGCCTTCTCACAGGTCTTCTTCCTGAAGGCCAACGCAGGAACATTCTTCGTGGCCCACGACATCTTCCGCCTCAACATCCACAACTCTGCCTAGGAGCTCTCCGCTCCTTGCACATGCATACCACTCAACACCATACACACACTCAATCGACATCCAAAGATGCCCAGCCAGCCGATAACAACAAGCGCAGCGGTGGAACTCAACAAAAGGAATAACGTAGCCAAGCGCGGTCACACGTCTATCAACAAATAGAAAACAAGAACAAGAAAAAACACACAATAAAAAAAAGAAGAAATTAAACGCTAACTACTATTACGATGTCAACAAAATGGGCCGCCAGCTCACCTTCATTTGTGTCCCATTGTGCCCGGTACTCTGGTTTTACGATCAACGATCTACGAGGCCCCCAGAGTTCTATGTTCCGCAAACACCTGCATCCCGCGATCTAATTTAGCTAGGGCTATCGAATTTGGTATGTGCCCAGCTACCAGCTCGGATTTCGAATTCCCCGAAAATGAGCAGGAACAGCTGGCCAACTCACCACCTAAGTTTAAATTGATTTTCCAGACATTTTAATATTTCGAATTGAATTATTTGTACTGTAATTATGAACACTATTTTAGATACCCGTATTGCAAATGTATTGTGTCTGATGTCCCGCTTTTTGAACGAGTACCAGAGTACCGGGACTACCACACAGTCGGGCGTATTGACTCTAGCTTTCTTGTATGATGGTGAATTACTTTTTATTGAGACACAAAAAAAAAAACACTTAAATATAAAGATTAACGTTAACAGTTTGGTTGTTTGTATGATTGGCGGCATGGCCAGTTAAATCGGAAAGAAATGTATACCCTTACAAGCTATTAAATGCATACAAAAGAAGCTCCACAGGATTTGGCCAGTGGTTTTCGTCTGAAACAGAACGATTCACTTGTCGCGAAATGTGAACACCGCATCGAATCCGAACAGCACCCCATTGACGATGGACAGCGAGGCCTTGATGAGGGCGAGATCCCGAGTTCGGGTCCGGAAGGAGAACTCCCAGGCCTCTATGATGAACACACCGCTGGCCACGAACAAGGTGCATCCCAGGACGCTGAAGAATATATCGATGCGCTTGTGTATGGGCGCCCGCATCAGAACACCTGCAATTTCGAGTCTTCTTAAGTAGATTTTTCTGCGCATAAGTGTGTTTTCGGAGCAATTGAAATGATTATAGCTTGTATTAGTACTCGCCAAAAGAACGAGGACTGTTAAGGCATACCTGCAAAGACCCCGATGACCACTATGATATAGCCCGTGAAGGTGCCAGTGGCCAGGAACGATGTCATTATGTCGCGATCGTTGAAGCTGTAGAAGTGGAGCACTAGACACGCAATCGCAAAACCCTGGAAAAGTAAGGGGGATTTTCATGTGTGAACCCTGTTGTATTTGTAATTTTGCGTGATGCCTTGTAATTCCCAAGCAGTTTTTTAGCATACGCGTTGCATTTCTAGAGTTCTAGAGTTCTTGGTTTATGTATCCTTATTTGTTGGCGTTTTTATTTAAGTTGTCTCGTGGGATCACTTGAAAAAAAATAAATCCTTTACCAATTCCAGAAACTTGACCACATTGAGGCGGCCCTTCCGCTCGCCGTGAGACATTTTGTGAAATTGCTGCCGCTGACAGTCCTCGAAAATGTGGTCCAGTTTGAAAATGTGGGTGTCGCAACTCAAGAAACTTCCGAATTCTTCCGATTGGCCTCTTTGGAGCGTGCTCGCGACGGCAGAGCGCTGGACAAACTGATTCTGATTCGAATGGATGTCAGATGGCAGGCAAAATGCGGCTGCAGTTGGGCCCAGTAAGCGAAATTAATTAATTACACTTAGGAAATAGGCTTTTCATTCTCGTTCCCATCCCTGTGCATCCGCCCACGTCCACCAGCCGGGCCTCTCGGTTCCATCTCTGAAGTGGACAGCTGCACTCGAGCCCCCATCCCTTCCAGCTTGATTGAGTGGAGCATAATGACGTTATCTGCATGCATGCTCTGTGCCGGTGGGTGGCCAGTGGGCAGTGACCAGTGGGCAGTGACCAGTGGGTAGGTAGTGGGCAGTGGCCCTATGGACTCAGACTCATTGTGCTCGCATTCGTACTACCATTACCCCAAATTTGCTGCCTAACCTTCGGAGCCCAAGATCGGAGCTATTTCGCGGAATTGGGGCCAATTTTCCGATGGCAACCAAGTGCATAATGGAACACATATCATTTGGGGTTCTCCAACTTATGATTAATGTAAGGCCATTATTTTTATAAACTTTATGAAAACTGGAGAGTTGATTATTAGTATTACTAGTGTGTAAAGTTGGAATCGCAACATTATTCAGATGAAAAGCAATTGAGATGTATAAGTCAGACAGAATTTAAAAAAAGATCATATTTTCTAAAAAAAATATTTAATTTTTTCTCATAAGCTATAGTTTCTCTTACTGTAAATATTTTAAGTTTAAAAACCAAGAGTAACAAAAATACTATAAGGGAAAAAAAAATATTTAAAGTGAAAAAAATAAAAGGCTATCCCAATCCGGCCACTTCCAAGTCAGCTAAATGATATCAGCCGTCCGGTTTTTATAAAAGTAATTAGTAATCACATTTCCAAACTGGCCTGTTTCGCCTTATACATGGATAGTGCACTACCTCCAATAGATAGAGGCAGCCCATTGCCCATTAGGTTTAAGCTAATAAACTAGATTACGCGGAAATAAATGGACATGGTACGATCGACTTGGATGTGGATGCTGATCAAGATATATATTATGCATGCCACAGGCTGAATTGGTTTTTCTTGAGCAACTACAAGTGCCCTACTAATTTCAAGAAATATGTGTTTTTAGAACAATGCCTGAAGAATAATTTTATTTATTATCAGAAGCGACTTAATGGGATTTACGATAGGCTTATCAGCTGGAAGGCAACTTTCGAAGTGATCCAACACATACAGGTGCGCATCGGAACTATTTTTAGCCCTTCTTATCGCTTAAATGTTCTGATTAATCCGTATTTTCTGTTTCAAATTTGAAAATGCATTTTTCGAGACTTTGCTACTAGAACGAAATCCAATTGTGCTCTGCTAAGCTTTTTGTCTCAGCAATTTGACGGTAATTAGCGGCAATTCCCATGCCATTGTCGTTCTATTAAAAGTTAATCGCTCATTACTTTACAGTGACATCAAAACTAGTTTTACGTAGTTGCGAGCTACGGAATATATCTTACGGTTTGATATAACAAACAAACATACTTCGGAGATATAAGACTAAGCAATCTTTCACCGTAATGTAGAAAAAACTTGGATTACAAGAAATATTTTATGCTGATCTATGTGATGGAGCGTAAACATTATGTTCGAAAACAAATTGGGAATTTTAAGAACGCGAATACACCGAAATCAATACACCCAATGCACAGGGTATCAACTGCTTCTGTTTTCAAACCCAACCTGATTACAACCGATTTCAGTATGCAAGCGCACCTGTAGCTATCGAAATGATTAACCCCGCACTCATATCTCTGGAGAACCAGGTGTTCCGATGCTACCTAGGATGGTCGGCGATATTGGTGCTCAAGATCTTCGCGGCGGGCATTTACACGGGTCTGATGCGCTTCTTTACGGCCGTAAGTTATCTTTTAACAGACATCAACCCAATCCTGCGTCAACTACATTGTAGCTACATGACAAATGGGTTAAGATGCATGTTCGTACATACAGTCGCGGTCAGTTGAAGGTGGCCTTTGTAGATGTACACTAGAAATTGGATGGCATTGGATAGACGTAACATATTTAATTAATATAGTATTTATAAATATAATTTAAGCCGTATATTTTTGTATCGGAACTTTAAGCAAAACAGTTTCTTTTGTTAACGTACTTGCGGATCTAGGGAATAAATACAGTATTTTGTTTGTGCAGCTCTACCATTTTGACCGCTGCTGTATTCTTCACACATTTTTGCAAATAATAATTTTTCTCAATTTACTGCAAAAAGCACTCTGTTCCCTTTTTGAATGTGCAAATTTAAAAAGCGCTCTCTCTTTCTGTTCGCTTTCATTTCATTGAGCTG